GACACGTTCCAGACTCTCGCTCCTGCCCCGGCTCGTGCCTCCGCAGCGCCGCGGCCGTACCTGCCTCCCAGCCGGGCCCCGGGGCGGGACACCCAGCCCCTTTTGTCACCCGTTCCACCACTGGTTTGCTGGGTGAGTGTTTGCTCAGCCCAAGGGATGACCCTTGTGAGCACACGGGGGGGCCGAGGGCCCGGCCGGCACCTTGCAGCAATGGGACGCGTCGGGGGGGAACGACTCGGTTAACAGACATCTCTGTGCCAAGAACAATCCGTATAGGCAGTTGCTGTAAATAAATGTGCACATGCACACTGTTCTGTGCGTAACTACGGGTTTTGGGCTACAGCATAGTCAAGATTTAAACACACTGGATCCTTTTTTCCTCAGGTTTGTACCCCTGGACAGCACAGAAAGACAAGGCACCTCGGTGGCTCTAAATCATTTGATATTTTTGCAATTTGTCCTGTCCCGGGCAGGTTCCCACTGTGGGTGAGGTGGAAAACAGTCACAGCTGGCGGTTGGGATGCTTCAGCCCCCAGACAGCCCTTTGGGGTCTGTCCCCAGAGCGGAGAGGCCGGTGTTCCTGGGATGGAGCTGGCAGCGCCTTCTCCCCATCAACACAAGGTGAGCGCTCACCCCACACGTCGTAATTCACACGCCAGCCAGGCGGCTCTAGAGGGGCCAGACCTGCCTCCAGAGGGATGCTCCTCGTCAGCCTGCCCCTTCCGCTCAGTTTTGTTTCCCAACCGCAAAGTGAAACCAATAAAGGAAGAGTCAGGGTGGGCACAAGGGCCTTGAGAAGCTCAGCTGGCTCCGGCAGCAGCCACTGCTCATCTCCACTTGCAGGGCCAGCAAGAGAGCTGTGCTGTGACCAAGGACCAGCACTGGAGCCGTGGCCAGCCCCAGCTGCTCTTAGGGAAGCCCACGAGACCCCACAGCCATCTGCGCAAGCAGAACCCCATGTAACTGCAGGTTTACACCCCGGGCCGGGTGCAGATTTAACAGCAATGGGGTAGGGTTATCAGCACTCAGCACCAAAGCCGCAGAAAAGGGGCTGTGCGTGCCCCCCACCAGCCTTCCTTCAGCCTGGGGAGATCAGCTCTCCCAGGTCTCTCACACTCTGGCAGAGAGTCTGGGTGCTTATCTTCAGCTCACCAATCTCCCCCTCCAGGTCCTCCATAATCTGAACAAATGACATTCCTAAGAGTTCTTGACTTTTGCAACAGAAGCAGGAATTAAAGTTTTAGAGATTTTGCAAACAGGAGAGCTAGAAAACAATCCCTTGTGCAAGTAAACCCCTAACAGGCTTCCTGAAATACCCGCTGGGCTCTCCTCAGGGTGCCCTACAGCCCACTGGGTGCAGCGGGCATGGAAGGCAACGCACCCACCGAGGCAGACAAAATCCTGACAAAGGGCAAGGGCCGAGGGCGGCTGGCTGCTCCGCTGCGCTGCTGCTCCCCCAGCTCGCTCACCTCCCTCTGCCTCAGTATTTCACATCACAGAACGTGATTGTTTATCACCACCTGCTTCAAGCCATCCTGGTGCAGCAACATCTCCCATATCGGTGAAGAGAAGAGAACCAGCTGAAGAAACTCCATCAGCACAAAGCCCTGTCGCTGGCGGGTGCCAACGCTGGCCCTGCCCAGATGTGCCACTCTTCACAAAAATGGCTCCAGCTCAAGCAAGAGACAGGCATTGCCATCACATCGTCCTGAGCGCAGAACAAGACTGAGAAAAGAGTGGGTTCAGTTTCCCAGGGAAAGCTTTTTAATAAAGCTTTTTAACTGGGTAACTTGTATCACCTGTGCTTACAAATTCACCTGTAAAAGGGCACAGCAGTTCTGCATCAGAGCGGGCTGTAAATGGAGCCAGTAATTAATATTTTCTCAGTGCTTTCAAGCTGCTAACCCGGGAGAAGTGCTAAGCGCACCCTGGGAGCAGGAACTGCAACAGGAGTTCCTCCTATTTTGGGAAGAACGACAGCAGTCCCTGCTCTGTAGTGCTGCATATCGTTTAATTTCCTCCTGAATTTATTACAAACATATGTGCGTTGCCACAGCGGTGTCACAGCCAATTAGCGCAGCAACTAACTAAATAATGTAATAAAACAGGGACCGTAAAAGCGGGGTGAATGTTGGGTCACCGCACACTCACCTCCACGCAGCAAACTCCCAGGAGTGAGTCTGGGGCTGTTTCAACACATCAGACACCAGCAGCAACTCCGAAGTGCTTCTCCTGCACCCTCCCAGGCAAACAGCTCCGGCACGGGAGGGGAGCAGCGATGCCCGGTCACTCTTTGGGTGCTAATTGCTAACGGGCAACGTGTAGCAGCACCTACCTTGTCTCCCAGCTCCCAGAAACTGCTCCCCTTTTGCTGGGATGTCGCGTGAACTCCACAAACCTCCACGACTTTCTGTAATAGTGCCTCTCGTTCCGCCCGTGCCTTCTTTTCCAGTGCCTCCATGACGGCCTTCTGCCCCTCTTCTGTCTTCTCTATCTCCTCCTGAGAGCAGCACGGAAACAGCCAGAGCGTCAGGCAAGATAAACCACCGTATTCCTTCCTCCCCAGCCCTCTGCCTCCTCCCTGGCAATGCCGTGGAGAAGGCGAGATCTCAGCACCCGCTGTTGCTCTTTCAGGTTCTGGGTGCTGCCCGTCGATGTAGGTCTGCAGGACACCAAGCTTGTCCCAGAGAACCTCCACCTTCGATGTGACTTCAACCAGCTGCTGCTGGAGCTCTGGTTGAAAATCAAACCAGAAAAATCTCAACCCAGGGGTTCCAGGGCTTCGCTTCTTCACTGAGTGAAGGCGTCTGTCCTGCATTTGCCTGAGCCCGTCTCTCTCCAGAGGTGACACACCCTGAGGGAAGTGGGAACAGGAGTCAGCCCCCCGCGACCAGATCCGGCCCCAGCAGGACGGTGCAGACAGCTGCCAAGGAGGCGATTCCTCCCCGCCCTGAGCACAGGGGGTCACAGGGCTCTCCCCCGCCCAACGGGCCGGTGGGAGGATCAGCCCCATAGAGCAAACGGGATTCACCTTCAGAAATGGAATTGTCTGACAGCTGTAAGATCAACACAGTGTCTGTAACCTCATAAGACGGCAAGTGAAGGTAGCACGATCGTATAAACTGTTTCACAGTAATGGGAGCATCTCACTTCCCAGACTCTTTTCCATTGTTTTTTCCTTTTCCTGGAGTTCTGCAGCCCTTGCTGTATCCAGCTGGTTCTGACAGGTCTGCACCATGGCCTGCACCCTCTGCCCAGGGAGAAATCCAGCCCCTGCTCGTTCCACAGAGCTCTGAACTGTCCCCCCGGCACCATCCCTGACCTTCCTCTCACGTGCTGTTGCTTGCAATAGCAGCACAGAGGAATCCGTCGCTGTGCCTGGTGCCAGCTCGTGCACGGGACCGGCTCTGGGGAGCAGAGCGGAGCTTCGGGAGCCAGCTGGAGCCAGGGGAGGATGGCTTTGGGCTCTCACAGGGGTGACAGCTCCAGTCAGGGTGCCCTCACCGTTTTAAAACACAGGCACAAACCAAGAGCATCTCACAGGGTCTCTGGGCATCGGAGAGCTCCGCCCAGGCCGGGGGACACCCCAGTCACAGCGGGGTCGTGGACAGGGCCTGACCCTTTTCCAGCACTAATGAGCAACGGGAAGTTCTGCATTCTGCTGAGCTGGGTCTGTTGGTCAACCCTAAAGCCTCACCTGAAGGACTTCAGAGTGCTGCAGCAGGGTCCTGGCAGCGCTGCCATCGGCGCTGGGCGTCCTCACTCAGCTGGCAGCTGGGCTCTGCCAGGCGGGCGCTGCGCCGCTTCAGCTCCTCCGTGGCATTTTTCTTCAGACTGGTCAGATTCTACGGGAATTTGTGGATTAAAGTGTTGCGGATTCCACCAGTCCCACCCGCCCCAAGTTTTCTCGCCCCCCCTGCCGTGGTGGCAGCAGCCAAGGCCCTGGCGCCCCCCACGCAGCCCAGCCCTGCTCCCACGTTCCTCAGGATGAGCTGCAGGACCACCGCCTCCTCCATAACCATCCTTCACCTACCAAAAACCTGTGCTCATGCCCTCCACCCCAACCTCCTCTTTGCTAGGCTGAGAAAATCCGATACCGACAGGCTTCTAACAGGTCACATTTCCTAAATCTCACCCCTCTTACTGCTACAGTCCGGACTCTCTCTTGGTTGCTCTTAATTTTCCTTGATAAACAGCATCAAGGTTAGATTTCACCAGCATTAAGCAGAGCAGCATAATTACCTCCAGTGTATTAATAAATAAACACATGCCGTTTTGCAAGAGTGAGTCAGGCTGCTAGAATTTCCCCCATAAAGGCAGCCAGGGTAACTGTATGGATTCGTTACCTCCAGCCCAGCACTGGGTATTTGTCGCACGTACTGTGGCAACTGTGATCTCTCCCAAGGTTTTCTTCCTGAGCGCTCATTTCCTCTGAGTGAAACTCCTGTATGTCTCCTGGGATGATGATGTCTCCGAAGGCAAGGGTGGTTTTTTTTTAACTCAGCATAAATGCCACTGGTGAAACAAAAAAGAGGCTTCTGCTTATTTCACAGTCCAGTTTCAGCGCTTTACATCTCCTCTCTCTCCTGGTGTATGTGGCTGAGGAAAATCTAAAGAAGAACTGAGAGACTGAATTAAAATCTTCTGCAGCTCCAGCAAAAGCCACGAGCAGTTACAGCCCAGGAGCCAAGGCTACAAAGCACTCCCTGGTCTTTTCTAGTTGTCTCCCTTTATTCTCAGCGTTTTCCCTTGGGTATTTTTCTTTCTGTGGCTTTTGCTGAAGGTCTCCCAGCAGGAAGCACTGGGTTAATGCAAAAGCAGCACCAATGGGCAGGGGCAGCAGGGTGGTGGGGAAAGGAAATCTCTCCCAACCTGGCTTCTTGTTCTCCCTTTTCTTCTGCTTGTCCTCCTCAGTGAGCGGTGGCAAAGTCAACCTGCAGGCTG